TATAGCCTTAAAGGTTCTTGTCCAGAACCCGCTCATTCCAGCAAGGCCCCATCTCCCTAAGCTGCCACCAGCTGGGTACCGTAACTCCAACTCAGGAGTCTTAAGAGAACATTTCAGATTCCAACCCTCCCAAGTCGGCTAGCTGCTTTTTCTTCTGCTCGATAACTCTAAAAAGTAGTCCGTTTCTCCACCATGGGATGTTGCTTCCAGGTGGGACATTCTCTCCAGTTCTTTGATCTTGATCCCTAACAGGACCACTTCCAGGTTACAGGAAGAGATTTATGGAGAATGGAAGGGACTGGCATGAGTGAGAAGCATCAGTCAGGGGTAAATGGGTATGTTATGTGCAAATGCATTCTCAATGGGCTGTAAAATAAAGCTTTATCTGCTGCCTCATGAACCAGAAGAAGGAAAGAAAGAAAGAAAGAAAGAAAGAAAGGAGGGAGGGAGGGAGGGAGGGAAAAGGGAGGGAGGAAATAAGGAAAGGGAAGAAAGGAAGGAAGAAGGAAGGAAGAAGGGAAGAAGGAAGGAAGGAAGGAAGGAAAGAAGGAAGGAAGGAAGGAAAGAAGGAAGGAAGGAAGGAAGGAAGGAAGGAAGGAAGGAAGGAGTAGACATGTCTCTGTCAAGGCTGGGTGCAGAGACTGCCTGTAGCATCCACAACACTCTTACAAGCCCTAGCCTAGCATCTTTGGCTGAGCCTATGCCATCTGTATTGTCTTAACTCATCAGCCAAACTGTAAAGAAATGAAAACAAGAAAAATATACTAAAATAACCCTGAAAAGCTGCAATTCAGAACTCTACCCTTCCACCATCGGAGTAAATTTTGTGGGCTTCCAGATCACCTCCACTCTAATATCCCCAGAAGAGAGGAACTAACAGACCTCTGACAGACTTCAGGGCAGACCCACTGAAGACTGCAGGCTCAGTACACTTCCACCATCTAATAGTCTCCAGTCCCTCCCTCCTGCCTTCAGGTGGCCCAAGGCTGCCTGTATTTCACCCATCCTGACTCATTTCCAGACAGGTGTGGAGTCAGGTGGGAGGAGAGAACAGGGGAAGATGTTCGAAGCCTTTGGGCCAGCTACTCTGTAAGGCACAGCTCAGCAGGAAACAGGAGGGAACTGACTTTAACCAGGAGGAAGGCGAGAACTGGTTCCCAAAGGTTGTCCTCTGACCTGCACACACACTCTGCGACACTCGTCGTGACACATTCACACACACACATGCACACTAAATAATAAATAAACAATATAATGTAATATAATATAAGAGTCATAGTGGCCAAGATTGGGTTCTGCAGCTGTTTTGGGGCACCGTGGCTACACACATACACACACACACACACACACACACACACACACACACACACACACAGGCTCCCCAACCTTGGTATTTAGCGAGCATTAAACGCAGTCTGGGGCTGTTGAGATAGCTCAGCAGGCCTCCCTGGGTGCCAATCCTGACAGCCTGAACTTCACCCTGGTGGGAGAAGAGAACCTACTCCAGCAAGTTGTCCTCTGACCTCCATGTCTGTGCTGTACCACACGCCCCTCAAATACATAAATGCAATTCTTAGAAATATATATGTATTTAAAAAGAGCCATGGGGTGGGTAGAGAGATGGCTTCAAGGTTCAAAGTGCTTTCTGCCCTTGCAGAAGTACTGAGTTTGGTTCCCAGAGTCTGTGTCAGGTGACTCGCAACTGTCTATAACTCTGACTCCAAATGTCACCCTCTCCTGGCCTCCTCAGGCACCCTCACACACGTGGAATGGACACACACATGCAGACACTTAAGTAAAAATAAAAACATTTTTTCATTTTTTTCTTGACCTTTTGATATAGGCCTTATTATGTAGCCCTTGATGTCCTATGTAAATTCACTATGTAGATCAGGATTACCTTGAACTCACAGAGATCCTACTGCCTCTGCCTCCTGAGTGCTGGGATTAAAGGTCACATCACCAAACTCAGAAAAAAAGTTTTAATTAAAAATAAGTAAACGAAATCGTAAAGGTAGTATGCTTCTCCTTAGGATGGGGGTTCCAATCAGGAATGATTTCTCTCTGTGTACTTACTGTGTGTAGGGACAATTCTGCCTGTCCCAGCTGGGACTGACCCTGCTAGTCACTTCTTGTGCACAGAGGCCAGGCATTCTGCCAAAATGCCTACAACGCACAGCACAGCCCTAGCTCTGGGGAGCCAAAGGATCCCTAGGGTGTGCTGGCCAGCTAGTCCAGCTGAATCAGTAAACTCCAAGCTCATGTGAGGCCTGTCTCAAAAATAAAATAATAATAAGGTGGATGAGTTGATAAGATGGCCCAGTGGGTAAGGGTGTTTGCCACCAAGCTTGAGCTCTGACTCGTATCCCCAGGACCCACACTGTGGGAGGGGAGAACAGACTCCTGAAAGTTACTCTCTGATACACACACACACACACACACACACACACACACACAGATTCATTCTCTGGTCATTTCCCCTGTGTCTCTCCATGAACCAGGCCCTCTTCTGAGCACACAGGAGAAAGTCCAGCTGTTGTCCCCTTGGCTTGCAGGCTTTGATTGCAGAGATGCAGAGAGGTTAAACAAATAGCCCCGGGCCTCACAGCTGGTAAAGCACAGGAGCAGAACTCTAACCAGTTGTTACCCTGACAAGAGAGCCTTCACATTGGACCATCGGCATGGCGATCTGGGGTAATAGAGCCTGACACTTTCAAGTTATCAGAGCCGAGACACGCAGGTGTTTCCACCTACCAAATGTCTCCCCCTTAGCCACATTGACCCAGGGACACTATGGAAGAGGACCAAGCCCCCAGGCCACTCTTCCTTCCTTGACCCTGTCTTCACCCTGAGGTCACTGGAAACTGCAGGCACCACACTCCATCCACAAATTTAAAGGCACAAAGAGGCAGGTTACTCCTCAGTGCTCTCGCCCTGGTTCTGAGGAGCAACTCTAAGGCTGGAGTGAATCCCCACCCGTCTGAGCTAGCCTGAAGGAAACAGCGGCATTTTAGAAACACTCTCCCATGAAGGGAGGTGAGCTCACTTCCTGAGGAAATTACTGCAGGGGGCGTCTGCAGGGGCCAGCTGGGCCTGGTTTGACAACCTCTGAAAAGGCCTATGGTGTAACCAGGCCTGAATATTGATTCAAATGAGTTATGCATATTTGTGTCCTTTATAATTTTATCACATTTTCCCTCCACATAGTTCGTCTGTATAAGACCCTGGGCTCATCAGCTCTTAGACGCCATGAAGACAACCGCTTTGAAATACTTGGTAACCAAAGAAGCTAAAGTCACTCGTGAAAACTATAAGGAAAGTGGCAGAAAACCCTCATCTGGGAGGGATCTGAGCGCGGGTCCTCAGAACCAAACAGTGTCCTGTCTCACTGTCTTTCCTGAGACCGTGGACGGGAAAACAGGGCTGCCCGCGAAGTATCCAGCGATTGTCGTTAAAACGAATAGGGCTCTTTTCAAATATCCACATTCTTTTCACATGGCCTCACGAAAACATAAACATTCACTCCATCCTCAAAAAATGCAGGGGCTCTGGAGAAAAGAGCCACCTGTTCAGCCTCCTGGTCAGGGCAGGAGCCACAACTGGGTGTTAGCAGTCGGTTCCCAGCAGGGACGGCTTCCGGCTTTAAGTACCCATGTATAGGAGTGAGAGGCAGCGTTTGAAAGCCTCTGTCCAGGACGCTTCCCGGTCCTGCCCGGCAGGCAGAAGTGGCCCTCAAAAGAGACACTCAGAGAGGAAGTGGGCCCTCCAAAGCCCGTGTATTCTATTATTGTCTGATTTCTTGTGTCTATTCTTAGTCTTTCACCAACCCAAAGGGCAGCAGAGCATAAAGTCTAGATTCCTTCCCTACATGATAAATAGACTTTTATTCATTTTTTTTTATCCTGAAAACTCACTGATAAGAACCTCAGTTGACTGTTGGTTCCTCTGAGCCCCAGTTGGGGAGGGGAGTCAGATAGGAATAATTGATTTCTAGTGATGGAATCTTAATTGTCATTATCCAAGAGAAATGAAGCATAATGTATACAAACCCAAGAATAACAAAGTCAGCTGTTGTTTATTTATACTGTGTCTGTGTGTGTGCATGTACCTGCATGTGTGTCTGCATGCTTATGGATGTGTGTGTGTGTGATGTAGTATGCATGTGTGTGTACATGTGTCCAGGTGTGCACACAAGAGGGGGAAGACATCAGTGCTCTTTTTCATTGCTCTCACTGATGGTCTGAGAATGTGTCCATCTTTAAATCACTTCTCTACATCTTGGGGTTGTAGCAAGAATAATAAAAACCCAGAGACAGTTATTGGGGTTCAAGGTGAAGATCAGAAAAGCAAAACAGACAAGCCACTAAAGTGTAATGATATTTCATTTGTATTTTAATAAATAAAGCTTGCCTGAAGATCCGAGGGTAAAACAGCCCCCCTGGCCAACCTTACAGACCAGGCAGTGGTAACACACCTTTAATCCCAGTAGCCGCACTAGTTTGCCAAGGAAACAGGGCAGTAATGGTGCACACCTTTAATCCCAGCACTAGAGAGGAATATAAAATGGGAGAGACAGCTCTCAGTCAGTCTCATTCTGAGGATTCCTGAGGTCAGGATTGTCATTTCAGACTGAGGGAGAGGTAAGAGCCAGTGCTGGCTGCTTTGCTTTTCTGACCTTCAGGTTGAACCCCAATATCTGTCGCTAGAGAAGTCTTACCTTTACCAAGGCTGAACAACTACAGACTGAGCCCTGAGTCTCTGTCTCTTCTGGGTTTATATTCTTCTTTAGTGCTGGGATTAAAGGCATGTGATTCCCTAGTCCTGGATTAAAGGTGTGAGCCACCAACACCTGAATCTGTTTCTGTGTTGATCTTTTTTTTTTTTTGCACCTATTCCATTTTTTTATTAGCTTTTTTCTTTTCAATAAAAGGGTCCATTGTGGACTAGTGAGATAGCTTCTATATGTTCACCTTCTTGTTCACCTGTGATTGAGTTTATTGTAGAGAAAGGTAGCAGAGATTGTGGTTGTGTAAGAACAGTCAGACACAGAACTAACGTGGGCTTAGCAGCCCAGCCATGGGTCTGCCCGGTTCTTCCGCATCAGGAAGTTAATCTTTCGAGCCATTTCCATGTTGTAGATCCTCCGGCATGTTTCATAGCTCTCCCGCTGGCGGCGGCGGCAGGGCTTCTCATAGAAACACCGCTGCTTTATGACCTCAGTAAGCCCATCGGTAGTGAGGATTCTGTTCAGGGTCCTGTATGCACCTTCCACGTTCCCCTCCTGAACAATCACAGTCCTGGCAATGAACTTCAGGTGTTTAGCCATGGCCTCGCTTTCAAATCTTCATTCTTCAGGACCTACAGGCTGCGGCTGTAGCACTTGGACTCCTTCTGTGTTGATCTTGTGTAGCCCAGGGTGGCCTTGGACCATCTGCCTCTGACTTCCAAATCCTGGGACTGATTAAAGGAGTATGACACCACTGCCTGACATCTAGTGGCTTAGTTTTAGCTTCTGATCTTCAGGCAACCTTTATTTATTAAAACATAAATAAAATATTGTTTACTGGGTCCAGCCTCTGATGACAAAAGCATCTCTCTGGATGCTAGAGGAAAAAAGAAACTTTTCTAACGGAAGACTCTATGTGCCTGTGGAAGAGAACATTGTAACTCCAAATCAAATGTTTAAAAAATGGCCAGGGTATAGTAGTGCACGCCTTTAATCTCAGCACTCAGGAGGAAAAGGCAGGTGGATCTCTGTGAGTTCAACCCAGCTCAGTATACATAATTAGTTCCAGGTCAGCCAGAGCTATATAGTGAGATCCTGTCTTGAAAAAGAAAGAAAGAGAGAAAGGAAGGAAGGAAAAAAGGAAGGAAGGAAGGAAGGAAAGAAGGGAGGGAAGGAAGGAAGAAGGGAGGGAGAAAAGGAAGGGAAGGAAGGAGGGAGGGAGAGAGGAAGGGAGGAAGAAAAAACATTCGGTTGGTTACATCAACCAAACTGATCTCTTTGATTTCAGAGAACAGCACTGTCAACTGGTCTTTGGAGGTAGTAGAACAACGCAGGTCAAACAGTAGATTCCACAAAATTCATCAAAAAAGTGCACTCCTCAAACTATGTGCTGAGTGGTACCAGAAAAGTGCCCAGACTCTCCCCCAACGGGAGTCTCTTGCTGCAACTTCACCAGGAGCCCACAGTCTTGCACAGTTTACAAAGAAGAGGGAAATGCTTGCTGCCTGGGTTCATATCTGTTCCTCACTGGGAAGGATTGTTGCAGGAGCCATGAAATGGGATGAGTTGGGGAGCAATACCTCCCTGGGTAAACTACCTTCCCTTAGACCTTCTCCCAAAGGAGTGGGCCAGTAAGTACCAAAGTGCAGGCTGGAGTCTCTACATAATCTACACAGTACATCGCATATGCCAAACATACCACGCCACACATCAAACCACATACAAAGATACACCAACACATACATACATTCACACATGATAACATACATCAAACATGCCATATTATATACACCAAACTTCACATTGTGGCACACCCCTCTGCACACCACTTCATCCCACTGCACACATACCATACCATACATCACACACTCCTCACACCTTACACACCCTAACAATACTATATACCACACAGAAACATTACATTGTGTTATGCACACCCCCACATAAACACACTGGGAAATCTTGCTTGTACAGGTAGAGAGACCATGGTGAGAATCTGTGCAATGTCTCTGAAGAGTCAAAGAGGACAAGGACATAAGTGGCTCTAGGAGACCTTTATGTCACTGGGTAGCCAAATGTAATGACATCCCAGGCTTCTTCTCAGAGCACAATAGGCTGGGCCTCTCTCAGCTGGGAGGCAGTACATTGTTAGTCACTGCTTTTGCAAAAACAAAGTGGACCACAATCCACACTCTAGAAAGTGCCCGTGCCTCCAACTTTATAGATAGGAAAAGGAACAGTAAATCTCAACACCAAATGAGCTTTTTAGATCAATTGATAGCAAACCAAAACGGATGTTTTGTAAACAAAAGTAAGTTGCAGGTGGCACCTTCTTTGTGAGACCAACCCAAGCTTCCATCAGTAAGGCAAGAATTTAAAAGGGGTGCACGAGTGAGCTCTATAGGGGGAAAGGAAAGAGGACCATAGCGTGTCATTCATATGGAGTAGGCATATATCCATTCATGTGTGGACAGGAAAAGAGCATGAAGGAGCCACAGCAACAACAACAGTTGTCTGTGAGAAAGAAGAAGGGTTGTCCAGCACGGAGACAGTCAGACCCAACAGCTGTCTGTGAGAAAGAAGAAGGGTTGTCCAGCAAGAAGACAGTCAGACCCAACAGCTGTCTGTGAGAAAGAAGAAGTGTTGTCCAGCAAGGAGACAGTCAGACCCTTTCACATTTGACTCTGTTACTCTCATTTACTGGAATTGCTGAGAATGAAAATTCATTTTGATATTAATTGTGTAGCTTTAAAAACCAGTGCTAACAACAAGAAAAACGAAAGGAAAACATAAATCAAACTTATACCCATAAGTAAAAATTATTAGCTTTTAAATGTACGCCTCCATTTGCCCGCCACTCTGGTTTAAAAGTCTGATTTTGTTCATGAGCTTCTGAAGATCACTCACAGAAATCCAAGAGCTATGTGTCCAGCCTCTTCTGCGTCCCAGTGTACTGGAGAGTCAGGAACTCCAGGGCTTGATGGCAGTGGTGGATGCCACAGTCAGCAGAGGCGTTAACATTGTGTGCTTGGGACCATATCCAGCTGTCTCTGGCTCCTATCAACACGTGACCACTCTCCTGTTTAAGTTTCTACTTCTCCTCATACTGGAGAAAAAACAGTCCATTTACCCTCTGGTATCCATGGGGTTCTAGGATCCATCACATCAAAACGTAGGGACATAAATCCATTGTACAAAAGTCTTAGTCTTTGCATAAGGCCAACACTCCTCCTCTTGTCTGCTGTCGTCTCTGTCTTAGCTGGGCTTTCTACGGCTGCAATGAAATACCATGACCAAAGCATCCTGGAGAGAAAAGGGTTTATTTGGCTTCCACTTCCACAGCACTGTTTGAGTTCCTCAAACAGGGCAGGAACCTGGAGGTAGGAGCTGACACAGAGGCCATAGAGGGGTACTGCTCTTCATGACTTGCTCAACCTGTTTTCTTGTAGAACCAGCACCACCAGTCTCACAGATGGCACCACCCACAATGGGCTGGGCCTTTCCCCATTGATCACTAATTAAGAAAATACCTTATAATTGGATCTTAGGAAGGCATTTCCTCAACTGAGGCTCCCTCCTCTCTAACGACTCTAGCTTTTGACAAGTTGACAAAAAACTAACCAGTACAATCTCTATATTACTTATTTTTTAAAAATTTACTCATTTTTACTTATATGTGAGTGTTTTGCCTGCATGTGTTTATGTATCACATACATAAAGTGCCCAAAGAAGTCAGAAGACGACATCAGATCCCCTGGGACCAGAGTTAAAGGTGGTTGCGAGCTACCATGTGTATGCTGTGAACCAAACCAGGGTCCTTTGCAAGAGCAGTCAGTGTTCTTAATTGCTGGGCCATCTCTGTAGACCCTCTGCCTATTATTTATTTAGGTATTGGTTTTTTTTTAGATAAGGTCTCTCTACATAGCCCTGACTGTCCTAGAACTCACTACTTTAATCAGGCTGGCCTTGGACTCACTGAGATTGGCCTGCCACTGTCTCCTGAGTGCTGGGATTAAAGGCAAGTGCCACCACACCCAACATATACCTTAATTTTTGAGGCCAACTTTCTCACTGAGCCTGGACCTCACCAATTCTGACAATTTAACTGTCTATAGAGCCCTAAGGATGCTTCTGTCATAGTCCTGAAATTGGATTACAGGTTTAGGCCAGTGCGCCCAGCTAGGGCTCTTAACTCAGGTTGTTAGCACTTCACCACCCAGCCATCTCCCAGCCCCATAGCTGACAAACCTCAGAGAGTGGCCAGGCTTGGGGACACAATGGCTGACAAGCTCAAGGCCAGACAGACTTTTGCCACAATTCCTAGCTCATTGTCTTGGCATCACCAGCACAAGCCCTTCAGAGGCCACTCCCTCCACCTGTTCCCACTCTTTTGATCCCAGCGAGGAGACAAAGGAATGAATCACACCTAGATGTTTGTGACAACTCCCAGTCTACTCTGAAACCAAGCAAGGGTGAAACACAGAATTGCATTCACCAGAGCTGCATGTCTCTGGGGGGGGAATGCATCATTGCAAAATCTGACCGCTCAGCTTTCAAAAGAGTAGTCACATGGTCATTATTGGGATCCTTGCTGGAAATCTGTCCTATGCCAAATGCCGTTACTTCACAAGATAGGAAACTAGGCCCTACCCAGATGTGGGCATGGAATCCATGACTGCTCACATGTAGCAGAGCAGAGAGCCCCTGCTAAAAGGTCCTGACAGTATGTAAGACACCTGCAAAGTAAGGAGGGTGGGATGCACAGACCCAGCGTTTTCTTGCATTTCCCACAGCTCATGGGCCCCAAATTTCTCAAAGGAGCCCTTCTCCCACAGGCCTCTGTGTTTGATTGACTGTAAACACCACAAAGGGGCTGAGGCTGAGCTTCCTAGGGCTCTGAACTGAAGTCTCATTTGAAAACCACTCAGCCAGAACTTGTCATAGATACCCAATTATTAGGATGATGCTGTGGGACAATGGTCTGATTCTATCAATTATATTTTAAATAAACGCTGATTGGACAGTAGTCAGGCAGGAAGTATAGGCGGGACAACCAGACAGGAAGTAGAGGCAGGTCAATGAGAACAGGAGAATTCTGGAAAGAAGGAAGTCCTAGTCTGCAGTCCTGTCCAGCCACAGAAGAAACGAGATATAAATGCCTTGACAAATAAGGTACCAAACCACATGGCTAACATAGACAAGAATAATGGGCTAATATACTTTATAAGAGTTAATAAGAAGCCTTAGATACTAGGCCAATCAGTTTATAACTAATGTAGACCTCTGTGTGATTTCTTTGGGACTTGATGATTGCGGGAACCGGACAGGACAAAAACCCCTGGCAACAGGATGACTTGTGTCCTTAAGTGAGGTTCTTATTCCTAAAACTACATGTGTATGCGGGCACACACATACACATGCCAACTGTATTTGTAGTTTATCTCTCTTCTTCTTTATTTTGTTGATTTTTTTAAATCCTGTATTATTCAATTATTTTATACTTGCTCATAATCTACTTTGATCATGTCCACCCACAACTGCCTTCCCCCTTCTGCTTCAACCTAGCTCTCTGTCAGCTGATGGATGGATAATGAAACCGT